AGCAATTTATGACCAAATGACCAATAAATGTCCAGTTGTAAAAATTTTCGGTGTCTCGGGCGATCGAACAAAATTTCATTCATATTTCTTGAACATTAGAGAAAAAAGTATGTATATTTCGAACGTGAAATGAGATAAAATCGACTTTTGTTGCAAATTTTAAATCGTTTTCATTTAATTTAAACATTTATTTTTTATATAAAAATCATATTAAAGTTAATCATATAAAAATAAGGTTGTACATTTGCAACAGATGAATTTGGAATGAATTTTGTCTCAAATATATAGCTCAAAATATTGTTCAAATGTAGACTAATAGCAGTTATAACAAATTATTCACGATTAACATTATATTAGAACCTAATTTTAACCTGAAACATGGCCTTTAATCTTGGAATATATGTCTACATTTGCAATCATGGCCGGTAATCTCCGAACAAATGAAGATTACCGTGTTTTGAAATGTATTGGTACATATTTGAATAGTTCGAAGGATGGCGCTACGATTTCCAATTTCATTGATCTAGCAGCTGGCTTGATCGACATTGATTTGATCGGCCATCTTCTATAAGTTGTCAAGTTGTCATCTCGTATTGTAGTTGAGATTTTCTGTGATTGTTTATATATAATTATGTTTTGGTGAATACTTTTTTCATTTATTATTAAGTTAAAGTGTTATGTGCCAAATAGTTATAACCCCAAATATAATAAAAAAATGCATGTCTTTCCGGCATCTAATTATCAGGTATGTATATAATGATGTATTATGCATATAATGAATAAGTATCATCACAATACTATTAAAATGTTATATATATATATATATATATATATTTGTGTAAATATATATTATATATATATTTGTGTGTAAAAAGATGCTTTCAATTTGGATGCAGAGGGCGAATAATCTTTTAATGGATGACCTAATTCTTCGGTTTGTGGCACAAATCAACGATAATTTGAAATCGAAACCAAATAGAAGTGTCTCCTTTTCGGCAATAACAAAATAGTTTTCAAGTCACTGGAGAATGCTCTGATACAGAACCAGAAGAAAAATCTGCAACTCCAAGGACAAAGCCAAGTAATTATAACTCTAAATACTTCAATAACATTTTACAAAAAATATTAATAAATGAATCTTATGTTCTTAGGAGATGGAAGCCTAAACACCTGGAAAAAGATTTTTGCAGCACCTCTAAGATTGTGAAGTGCAGGTTAAAAGTCACCTATTTTGACACCAGTTTTCCGAAAAGGTATTTTTTCATACTAATTGCAGCAAAAATATTTAATATGATAATTACAATATCTTCAATTAATATGATATAACAATATATTCAATAGAAGTCCTTGATGGTAGCTACAAATTGCCGCAGAATGCAATGATAAGGCGTAGGAGTGCCTTAACACCCAGAAGATGTATGATACATCAAATTTTGTTTCGGGATTAAAATGCAATGCAATAATTTAAAGGATAAATTCCAACAGAGTATACAATGTTCTGAGAAGTTTTCAAATATTCCGGAAACTTAAAATGTAAGGGCAAGAATTTTGATAATGTCTCAATTAAGAGAGCATACTCAAAGACCAGACAGTTTATAAAGCGCAAGGGTTTAGTTATAGTTTTAACTAAACCTCCTTGCAATAAAAACTGGATTAAACGATAGATAGATTTGAGCTACAATTGATATAAATTAAAAGTAGTTCAGGGTTTTGGTTACTTATGTTTAAAAACACTTATACAGAAACTATTCAAAGATTTCGTCAAATATAACTTTATTAATGATTGATTAGATAGCAAAATAACTATTAAATGGAGAGATAATAAAGAAGAATGTCTCGTAAATGAATTTTACTCCTAGGAATTTAGTTTTATCTCAATTTGGATATCAATATATATATGTTTTGTTTTTAGGATTATTTCGTTTGGAAAGTATTCATTCTTTTTTAAAAATGTGCTGTTCTTTTTATCCTTTTAAATTATTGCATTACTTGTCATTCCTTATAAATTTGTCAGTACATCATCAATACTCCTGCGCTTTTTACTTCTTAGTTTTTAAGTTTTTAATATATTATTATTAGTCATTAAGTAATTAATATGAATAAGTTATTTCTAGAATATTAATAGAATAAGTACTTCAAAAATATGTCTGTAATATACTTTAATTAATAGTAGTCAGTTATTTCTGTTTAGTTTATAATTCTTCAAAAATATGTCTGTGATATATTTGAAAATATATTTTGTATTTCGTATTTTTTGTTCTTATTTCAAACAATAATTTTTTTCAGATTTTTGGGCTGTATTGATTTTATGTACAAATGTAGAAGTAATACCAGGGGTTAATTTCCATACTGTATGTACATGTGCTGCCATGTAGTGATCTATTCGTAAATTAAAATGAGGGTAACGTCAAATGGCCCGAGATAGCGATCTATTTATGCTTATTTATCTATGTTTACAATAATGCAGATACGAGAAAGGGTCGTGCAATGTGGATTTTATAAGTGAAATTAAATTCCAAACCAATGACACATATTTTTTGAGGTGCAATTAAAAACGGACAACTTTTAAAACAAATTCAATATTATATTTATTTTTGAAGGAAAAAACACGAATTAAAAATCAATTTTTTATTCATATGAATAAAATGTTGAAAACTTTATGTATGTTGTATTTTCTCAGTATAATCAATTTTTTGTACTATATAAAAAGTTTTTTATTAGATAATAATACATCCCATCGCCGTTCTTAATATATTCATTTCTAAGATTTTATTTATAATATATAAAGAAATATTCTTATTGTTATATATTTATTTGAAATAAAAAATTATCAATGCAAAAATTTTCAATTTATCATTGAAATCAGCGCAAGAAATGGATTTTGCGATCTAAGGTGTTAACGGTTAATTTATAGAATTTCGGGTTTTGGAAAAATCAGATTAAATTCATTTGTGGACTTTCGGGATTAATACATTAAACTCAATGTTACCTTTTTCGAAAAGGAATTATTGACAGACATTTAATAATATAATTTAAATAATATTGTGAATATAAAAGTACCTACCTTTATTTAGAGAATAATAACGGTCCGTGCCATCATTCAGTAATTTTTTTTAAATATTTATACTGTATAACACCAGGAAAAATAATCACAAAAATTGGAACTAACATTATTGAAAAATAAAACATAATAAATTAAGTAAAAAAAATTCTTTTGAAGTTAAAAAACTTAATTTATTATGTTTTATTTTTCAATAATGTTTGTTTCAATTTTTGTGATTGTTTTTCCTGGTGTTATACTGTATAAGTATTTAAAAAAAATTACTGAATGGTGACACACCGTGTCGAAACGTACAAATAAATAGTTCACTATTTATTGTACTTAGAATAATATTATTCATGCTTATTTGTATGGTTACTTGTAATATCTGAATATATATTTTGCAATAGAGCACTTTTCAAGTAATTTTAGATTAGTTTATTATTATTATTATTTTTATTCTTGAACTATTTCAAATGTTTTACTTAGATAAAGTATTATTCTTGGCTGTATAATCAACCGAATAAAAGCAAGGATGTTATCTGAAACGCATGGATTTATAATAATTTTCAAATATAAATAATAAATAAATATTAAATATTATGCACAAATAAATATAGAATTTCACCTACTTATTTTTACCTACGTGATTTTGAAAATATATTTTTGTATTTTACGAAAAAAGGTATCGTTTCGAGTCATTTTATGACTATGGTCTCATAAAATTGGCAAAATATTCAGGTAAAATCTGGTTGCTCCGCTCTCCGCCAGAACTGCGGACATCATTTTAGTCGCCTGAACTATTAATTTTTATCATTTTACTACGGATCTTCATAAAAATCTTCAAGTCGGGTGCTAATGATTCTTTTGTACTGTTAATTTTTTTTATAATGCTTGTTGAAACATATAATAGACGATGTCTCGCGAATTCGAAAATATTGCCCATGACATCATGTTTCATCTCTATTTTGTATCTGCCTCTTGCTCATTCCATAATAAATCTTCCGATTGCTTCGATAATAAACTTCCTAATGGATGGGTACCTTAACACAACTGAATTCAAGGTTACGCGGCACGTGCGTTAGAGTGAGTGGATGCGGCGTGAAAAGAGGAATGAGAAACAGAAAAGGGATGTAACGAACGAAAGATTTTAACACTGTAAAGAATTACTTTTCATGAAATTTATAACTTTGTAACTGCCATGTAAAAGATGAGAGGAATTACGTTTGTTGACACAAGAAGTATTAAGGTATATAAGTAACGACTTAACTATCTTTCTAAGGTCACAATTTTTTTCAATATATAATTGAGAGGTAGGATTGGACATTTTGAAAGTATGGTTCAAGTCGACAAACCCTCTGAGAGGTCCACCATACTAATTGTTTGGATTTAAAACTATTTTTTTTGGATATTAATTTATACACACGCACACAAAACTTTGTCAAAAAATATTCATTCCGGTCTCTTATTTTTATTGGTGGATCTTTTGGTATGTTTTAACAAATATTTCTTGCATACTGGGAGTAGAAAAGTTATAAGCCTATCGCCTTTGATAGGTTTTAATTTTTTTTTGGTTCTGTAATGCTTGCGAAATATAAGTCATTTTGTTCGAAGTTGAGCAAAAAAGAATAAATAATCAAAATTCCTCCAAACACTTGCTTATTGCAATGAAATTGATCGAAATCAAACTAGACCGGCATAAGTTAATTGAAATAGTTACGAATATCAATAACTAGGTACGATTTGACTGACACGTTTGAACTGATTACTGCGACAAGACTGTGACAATGACGCTCAACATCTGACAGGATTGTGGTTATGGTTTCATTCTTCAAACGTTAATAAAACTAACGAATTATTAAATAAGTCCACTGTGTCATTTTGTTCCTACACACACACACACATATATATATATATATATATATATATATATATATACCATAATTTTTTCGCATTTTAGCCAGGAGCAAAAAATCCTCCAAGCGTCTGATTCTGAACGGTTGTGCGAAAGAAAACTTTTCAGTGACATAATTCTTGGACTTCAAAAGGAAAACACGGCGTTAAAAGATGAAACTTTGAAGGTATTCTTTACGATATTTTATAAATAAAGTTTTAATTTTTATCTACTTTGAATAGATTTGCTCTTTGAGTGATTAGCTTGTTTTCAGTTACATATTAAATGTTATAATTTTTTACTAGAGTTGTATGAAATATTTCTGTTTCAGCATCGCACATCAATAATGAAATTAAAATGTAAATTAGCAAAGACAAAATCAGTTCATGAAAATAAGCGGCCATTTTATACAAGTCAATTATGTTTACCCGTGACTCAACTTATTCGACCGAGCAGTTTGTCACCAATTATAAGTTCCGACAAGGAACATATACCCAGCTCCAATTCATCAAGTAAATCTGATATTACTTCTGTGAAAAATGCAAGTTCTTCAATGAGGTAACTGATTATTTTATTTTAAATATTTTTATTATATCATTGCAGTCATCTGCAAGAAAGCGTTCGGTAATTCTGTTTGCTTTGGATCTAAACTGTGCCTTATTACGACTTTAGCGTCTTACCTCGCATTACAAAAATTTGCTTATTTCATTTTATCGTGTGTGTTTTTTTGCGAGTATTAATGTTTTGTTGAAGTATGCTTCACCAGTGTTCTTCATGTTTATTTTGTTTAAAGAATTCAGATCGTTGGTGCAGAAAATACGGAAAACATTAAAAGAAAGCGCTCAAGTCTTAAAAATGATGATAGTGAGTTATCAACGAAAACTAAGGAAGTACACATCCATGCATCATCCCCAGTCGCAGATTTAACTAGAGATATTAATAAATACGAATTAAAGGAAAATAATGAATCAAAATTTACAATAGACATTGCAAAAAAATCAGAAACGCTTGATTTTTCCAAGAAACATAAAAAACAAAAATGACTTATATTCAGAAATTATTTCAGAAACCAAAAAAGTTAGCGTTTCAGACGGGAGTGATGAAAAATCTAACAACCAAGTCCAAAATAATTTAAGGCGCTTTGAGCAGAAGAAATTAAATGTAAAAAACAGTTTTCATAAGATTGAATATAATGAACAAACAAAGTCTGAAATTCAGCAAACAGTATCAGTTCAAATACAGGAGTCATCAGAAACATTTGGCGATCACGTCAGTGAAGTAAAACATGAACAACAATCCATAAAGTATAATAGCGTCCATAACGAAATGAATAAAAATCCACTATTAGATAAGGTAAAGCCGGGAAAAATAATGCAAATACCAAATGTGCTTATAGATGTTGATACATCAGATATGTATGAAGGAACTTTTAAAGATATTGCTAAAAAGATGAAACCTCTGGAAGATTGCGTCTTATATAGTAAACGCGTTCCTAATATTTACTACGCTGAACCAACGTCTTTTGAATCTGCTCCTCAAGGAGATATTCCAAAGTTTTGTACAAATTGTAAAATATCTGTCGAAAAAGAAAAATTCTGCAGCAATCATGTTCATGAGTGCTCTTATTTTAGTCGTAATAATATTTCCAGTCCAAGACCTTGCAGAAATGTTAGAGATGAAAGATCTGATGTTTCAGTAATTTCTAGTGTTAATTCTTCAAATTCACAACGTAGTAAAAGGAACAGGCGAAATTCAGGGAAGATCAACAACATCAACATTGAAGACATGGATGAGAATGAGTTATTTAAAAAAGTGTGTAAAAGTTTAGGTGTGCCTTTAACGCCCATTAGTTCAGATGCTGAACGTGGATTTACGAATAGATTTTTTGGCAGTAAAGAAAAGGCAAAGCAAGTTAATACATTTTCTTTGGGCAGTTCACCCAAACAAAATGGTAGTAGTGACAAAGGACTTGAACTGACAAATACTAATTTAGATGAATCTGCACTATCGACGTTGAGTGATAGTTCTAGAGATTGCGCCACGCCTGATTCTTTGATTCTAAATTCTAGCAGCTCTTCTAAATCAAAATTATAAGGTTTGCAGCAATATTTTTGAAAATTTTTAAGATGTGTTGTAAATGTTGAATCAAACAAAAAAGTAATGTGAAATTAAAAGAGAACGTGTAAAAATATATATCTTAAAGCATCTATTAAAACATACCTAATAAAAATTAAATGAACTTTTAATTTACATACATAAGCACCTCATTAATATAATCTTTCTTTTGTCGTCGTCGATTTTTTGTTATAAGTTATTATATTATTATTAAACTGGTTCAGTCATATATTAGGTATTTTGAATTTATAATGTGTTAAAAACATTATCATTAAACAAACAGCGTTTTAGGTGTGAATTTTTTTACTGTCTCCGAATTTCATGAAATTTTGGAATCAGGTTCATCTTACCCTCAAGTTCAAAAGTGAAAACAATTCACTTGACACAACATGACACCCCTTCTCAATTGTGTAATTACATTTTTCCAAATAACGTCGGAAATCGATAGAAGAACTAATTATAAGAAAAAAATATCAAAAAAACTAATACTTTTCAAGTTACTGACCACTAAAGATTCATATATTTTTGGCGTTTTCCTTCGTTTTTTTTTGCAAATATCTCCTAAAATATACATTTTAACGAAAATCATGTAATGAACAAAATAATGTCAATAAAAATTTTAATAAATCGGTATCACACGAAGTGTTCTAGGAAAAATATTAAGCAAGATTTGAAAGAGCAAAGTCGTTTTTTATTTCGTTCAAGATTTAATTGCTGTATTTAAAGCCATCTAGTGTTGAGGTTTTACATTTTCTTATACCCTTATATACAGTTATACCCTTTTTTCCTCTCCGTTTACTGCACTAATACTAGAATCACTTTAAGGATTTTAGATCAAGCTAGACTTACGGTGTGAAAGCAAAAGATTCAGTTTTAAATTTTTATTTTAAGAAAAGTTTATCAAATTTAGAGTTTTTGTAAGCATACTGGAGAATAACATGCTTGAATAAAATTATAAAGCAAACGGCGAGACCTAAAAAATTAAGCGAACTGGCTGGATCAGGCTTTCAGGATATTTAGTAACTTCTTGCAGAATTTGAAATTGTTTTTCCATGTGAAATCCTTACGAGTTCTTCAGTATAAAATTAAATAAATTATACTGATGATAGATATATACATATTTTTAAATGCATTGGATCCTTTGTTAGGAACTGTTTAATATTTTTGTTAAGCTAAATATACTTAAGTAGATAAACTCATAAATTGCTAATAGATTGATATTATATTATTTAATA